ATGTGAGAGTAGCTTGACAGTCCAAATTGTACTAATTGAATTTAAAATGCACCAGTTATGATGGTGAGATTTGAATCTGTGTCCTCCGAACCTGGGCCTCAGGATTGATAACCTGGTGATGTTATCACAACTGTCTCTTTAGATGGGAGCAGTACTGAATGACCTTGGGCTTGTCACAGCTGAACCTAATAATGATCTCCCGTTAGGATCAAAAGCGTGGAAACTCGTTGATTCTCTGGACTTAGTTGAGGGGCTCCTGCGACAAAACTGGAACACTTACCTTGGCTGACGTCAGTTGACTCAGCATAAACAGTGAGTGAGACCTGAGTGCTATCGGGTCGGTTTGTCTCAGCAACTCACTGTCCTTGCCAAATATATCATTAGAAAAACTGCCTGGGACTATAAATGGCAACAGAGGAGGTGCCAACTTGTCATTTTTAATCAGAACAAATGGCATACGATTTTCTTTTTCCCTGAGAAAAAAGGATGGAATCTGATCTCTGCAGCCCTCGTTTCCATTGCCAGAATCCATTGTAATAAAAACTGAACTTGATTAATTCCATTTTCCTTTTGAACCAAATGTGTAGCCCACACGAGTTGAAGTGTTTACATGAGGGTGGGGTGCCATTTTATTCCAAAAGAGCAGCTGTTGTGTAATATTTATTCGTGAAAAGTCGCTCTAATGTTTATCACACCCTTCCTTAGGAGAGAAACATGGCTTGTTTCTCACATGGTCTGAAGGGGTTTTGAGGAAGACTTCTATTTACGTAATTTGGTCAGTCTCACCTTTAATGTGTCAATGCTTGGCCTCTCCTGGCTCCTCTGGCTCTACCCCCAAAGTGGAGAGTTGATTAACACTTCGTATAGCATCTACAAGAACAGTCAGAGGCTAGATATCCTGCAGTAAGTCACCCCAAAAGCCTGTCCCTCACCTACAAAGTGAGTCAGGAATGGGGTTGAATACTCGCCACCTGCCTGGTTGGGTGGCCTCAGCAACACTCATGAAAGAAAATAAAATTCAAATTAAAGATAAAATTCAGATAAAATTAGCAACTTGTGACTTGGCAGGAAACTACAAGTGATGATATTGACGTGCATCTTTTTTTAAAAAAAATCATTCACGGGATGAGGGCGTCACTGACCAGGCAACATTTATTGCTCATCCCTAATTGCCCAGAGGGCAGTTCAGAGTCAACCACATTGCTTTGGCACTGGAGTCATGTGTAGGCCAGACCAGATAAGGATGGCAGTTTCCTTCCCTAAAGGACATTAGTGAATCAGAAGGGTTTTTCCAACAATCAACAATGAATTCATCGCCATCATTAGACTCTTAATTCCAGATTTTTAAAAAAATTGAACTCAAATTCCACCATCTGCCGTGGCAGGATTCAAAGCCATTTTCCCAGAACATTATCTGGGTTAACAGTCTAGCCATAATCACCTCTGTTGCCTATCTTCCTCCTAGTGGTAGAGGTCATGGTATTAATGGAGGATTCTGGCTGCAGTACATCTTGTAGATGGTACATTGCTGCTACTGCGTTGGTGGTGGAGGGAGTGAATGTTTAAGGTGGTGGATGAGGTGCTGATCAAATGGATTTCTTTGTCCTGGATGGTGTGAAGCTTCTTGGAGCTGTGAACGTCTAGCCAAGTAGAGAATATACCGCAGACTCCTGACTTCTATTGATAATTCTTCATTTCCAATATGTGATAGTGTTTTTGTTTGGGGCTGGGGTGCTTGGGTTTGAGTTCCAATGAGAGCTCTGGCGTTTATTGGGTCAAAGTGAAGAGAGCTTTATTCTGCATTAATGTTTGGAAAAACACCTCAATGTTCCGTCACACCATTAGCTTTTCTATCTTCAAAAGCCTCTCAGTCAGTGATGCCCATATCCCATCAATTAATTAGTTTTGTAATCTGAATTCTAATTTACTGGCACAGTGGCTTAGCACTGCTGCCTCCATGTCAGGGACCCAGGTTTGATTCCACTCTTGGGCAACTGTGTGGAATTTGCGCATTTGCCTCGTGTCTGTGTGCGTTTCCTCCAGGTGCTTCGGTTTCCTCCTACAGTCCAAAGATGTGCAGGTTAGGGTGGATTGGCCGTGCTAAATTGCCCCATAGTGTCCAGGGGTGTGTAGGCTAGGTGGATTAGCCATGGGAAATGCAGGGTTGCAGGGATGGGGGTAGGCGCTGGGTCTGGGTGGGATGCTCTTTGCAGGGTCAATGCAGATTTGATGGGCTGAATGGCCTGTTTCCACAGTGGAGTTGTAAGATTCTATGATTCTGTGAAGTCAGGACCTGAGAGGAGAGTAGGAGTGATTTTAGTGAGTTTGAACTCTCTGTCTCTCTTTGTCTCTGATGCTTGCCAAAGCATGGGATTTTGGAGATGGAAATAGGAGAATTTTAAGTTCTACCATCAACAGTCCACGCAACAGCTTTCATTAATCCAAGGTGCTTTTGTCATCTTTTGGCCCAAGTTTGGCTGTCTTTCACATTTCCTGTTTGGTGTCCAATATTCCTCTCAGAAAAGTACCTCCAATTAAATTCACCCTTTGTAGCCTCACCTGGTTGACGCCTCATTTTTGGGTATTCTTCATGCTCCTCCTGGCATGCCCTCCTGCCGTCTCCATTCAACTAGGGTTGATCCCCTGGCTCAACGATAATTGTAGGGGTGGGGAACATGCCAGTCCATAAGGTTGCAGATTTGGGGTGAAGTACAGTTCTGCTGCTGTTGGACCACACCATCTCATGGAGGCCAGATTTGAAATGCTAGATCTGTGTGAAGTCTATTTCATGTAGACAAAGTGCCAAACAATGTAATGTAGGTGTTATCAATGTAAAGACAGGATATTGTCTCCACAGGGACTGTGCACTGTTCATTCTTACCGTTACTGTTGTGACGAGAAGGCAGATTGGTGAAGATGAGGTCAAGTACATTTCTCCCTCTTGTTATCTTCCTCACCAGCTGCTACAGCTCCCGTCTAGCAGTGATGTCCTTGACCAGCTCAGTCAAGTTGCTGACGAGCCACTATTGGTGATGGACATAGCATCCCTCAACCAGACGACATTCCTCACCCTTTGTCACCCTCAGGGCTTCCTCCAAGTGCTGTTCAATATGGAGGAGCACTGATTCATCAGCTGAGTGAGTATGTGATCATCAGCAGGAGAGTTCCTTGCCCAGGTTTGACCTGAAGGCATGAGACTTCATGGGGTCCGGTGTCAACGATGAGGAGTCCTAGAGAAACTCCTTAACCATGTAACCAAACTAAAAGAGGATATAGACGTAGGTATGCATTCTCCAAGAACTGCTGAATTCCTTTCGTGGAGGAGCTAGGACCTTGGAAAAGTCAAAGTAATGTTAATCTCTCATATTTTGCCATCTTCTTAAAGATGTGGGAATAGGTGATGTGATGCAACAATGTGATAATATTGCAGACAGGCAAACCACAGGTAAATTGTATGGAGATTTCTAATGCCTATAATTAGCAACTTGTCTCAGAGGTAGGGTGAGTTAGTGAGAAGACAAACAGTGCATGTTCCATTTAAATAAATAACTTTGTTGGTTGAATGGCAGTTGTGTATGTCTGCACGTATGTATGTGTTTCCATGTGTGTACATGCATGTTTTTGTGTGTGTATACGTGTGCACGTGTGTACATGTACTTGCATTTATATAGCACTATTGATGACCATAGAATGTCCCAAACAGTTTTACAACTAATGACGAACTTTGTGGAGTGCAGTCATTGTTAGAGTGTGAGGACTAATTTATGCACAGCAAGCTCCCACATTTTCTTTTTGAAAGATGAGATTTGAATACTTGATAAATATTGACTACAGGATGCCAAGAAGACTTTCTTTGCTTTTCTTTCCAGATAATTCATGTTTATAATTTACCTCCATCTCACAGTCAGGGGCCTTGGCATCACTTCTTATCTGAACAGCCGACATTGCAGTGCTCTTTCTCTCTCTGTCAGCCTGTGGTGTGTGACTTGAAGTGTAAGTCTGAGACAACCGAACCCCAGTTTACACTGAACCAATTCAAACTCGGCTGGAGGTCATTTTTCATAGCGTTCTGTTTTTTAAATGAGGCATTCTTGGTGAAAGCCAAGAGCTTATTGTTTGATTAGGACAGCAAATAAGATAGTGGCTAGGTAACACCACATGTAAACGGTTTGTAGAATGAAGGTGATTGATACTATGGTGATGCAGCAATTGGAGGTGGGGTTTTTTGGTATCATTCGTGGGATGTGGGCATTGTTGGCTGGGCCAGCATTTACTGAGAAGCTGGTGGTGAGCTGCTGCCTTGAACCACTGCAGTCTGTGTGCTGTAGGTTGACCTACAATGCTATAGGGGAGGGAGTTCCATGATATTGACCCAGTGACACTGAAGAACGGCAATATATTTTCAAGTCGGGATGGTGAGTGGCTTGGAGGGGTACTTGCAGCTGGTGGTATTTCCATGTATCTGCTGCCCTTGGCCTTCTAGATGGAAATGGTTGATAGTTTGGGAGGTTGTGTCTAATGAGCCTTAGTGAACTTCTACAGTGCATCTCATAGGTGGTACACACTGCTGCTACTGAGCATTGGTGATGGAGGGAGTGGATGATTGTGGATGGAGTGCCAATCAAGCAGGATGCTTTGTCCTTGATGGTGTTCCAACATTCCTATTTCCTTTTGCTTTTCCCTCCAGCATTCATTAGATGAAGATATCGCAACATTTGTGGTGTGAGCTGAAGGCAATTTGTTGGAAGCATAAGTAGGGAAATGGGGAACTTTCACACAAATGCTGGGATAGCTTCACCTTCATAGTTTGTACCTTTCCCCTCCCTCATTGCCAAGTGGGAGCGGAGGTCATCCTGAAAATTAATGGTGAAGTACATGGTTATATGCAATAACATTATCCTGAGGATATTGGTGTGGAATTGTACCCAGCGAGGGATCAGGAAGGTGGAGGTAAACTGTAAGTAATATTCTGATTTCTTTTCTCAATTTATTTTCTGTAGTTCTTCGAGTGTAGACCTGAAGACATCTCTGGATGAATGTATGACAGCTATGGACTTGTTTCTTAATAATCAATTCAGTGAGAGCCTGGAGATGCTGAAACCAAGGTAAACTGCCCAAAGCAGGACCATCAACTTAGTAACCTTCTCCAGCCTATTATTAGTGACCACCTGGACAGTGCTACACTGTCCGGTGCCAGTTTTGGGTCTTATCTGTCTGTTTCTGTGGTTCTGGTGGATATGATGGCTTCTATGGCTCTGTTTGGAAGGAAATCCTCTTGGAATACACCAGGCACAGATGGAGTACTCATTTGTGGGATCTTCCTGTTCACAAAATATCTGTCATAACTGAATTGGCACCTGAAGGTAATTTATCACACATGACATGCTGCAGGACTGATGTGTGAAGAGAGACTGGATTGGTCAGGACTATATTCACTAGAGTTTGGAATAATGAGGGGGAATCTCATAAAAGCCTATAAAAGTCTAACAGGGTAAACACAGGAAGGGCGTTCCTGATGACCGGGGAGTCCAGAACCAGGGGTCACAGTCTAAGGATACAGGACTAGGTTATTTAGATGAGGAGAAATTTCTTCTCCTAGAGGGTGGTGAGCCTATGGAATTCTCTGCCACAGAAAGCGAGTGAGGCCGAAAGATCGAATGTTTTGAAGAAGGCATGATTCCCTATTTTCTATGTCTGTGCTTCTATGGCATTTTATAAATTCCTACTTTAGAAATAAGATCAATCTGACTCCAAGCCAAGACACAAACAGATTCTAAACAAGGCCTCACACCAAACTTCTAACTGATTAAAGATTTAACAGCATTTTAGGTTTATTTAATACATCCTCATCAGTGGCGTGACCCTTTGATTTTCTACTTATACATTCTGTCAGATACTACCTCTCTCACTAACACCCGAAGAAGGAGTGAGGCTCAGAAAGCTTGTGATTTCAAATAAACCTATTGGACTATGACCGGGTGTCATGTGATGTCTGACCTTGTCCACCCCAGTCCGACACCGGCACCTCCACATTATGTTTTTATGAATGTTTTTGATATGTTGCTCTGTCAGTGTATAACTTTTTAAAGTTAAAGCTGATATTTGTACTGTTCTGAACTGGTTGCGAGAAATACCAAACTTAAAGCAGACTTTGCTTCTGTGCTGGTTGCTTTTGACCGGCACAGATTCATTGGGCTGAAGAGCCGTTTTCTGTGCTGTCGACCTCTGAATCTATGGCTAGAGTCATAGAGTGATAGAAATATACAGCACGGAAACAGACCATTCAGTCCAACTTGCCTGTGCTGACCAGATATCCTAAATTAATCTAGTCCTATTGGCCAGCATTTGGACCCTATCCCTCTAAAACCTTCCTATTCATATACCCATCCAGATGCCTTTTAAATATTGTAATTGTACCAGCCTCCACCACTTCCTCTGTCAGCTCATTCCATACACGCACTACCCTCTGTGTGAAAAAGTTTCTCCTTGGATCCCGTTTAAATCTTTCCCCTCTCACCTTAAACCTATGCCCTCTAGTTTTGGACTCCCCTACCCCAGGGAAAAGACCTTGACCATTTCCCTCTTTCATGCCCCTCAAGATTTTGTAAACCTCTATAATGTCAACCCTCGGCCTCCGATGCTCCAGGGAAAATAGCCCCAGCATATTCAGCCTCTCCCTATAGCTCAAACTCTCCAACCCTGGCAACATCCTCATAAATCTTTTCTGAACCCTTTCTAGTTTCACAACATCCTTCCTATAGCAGGGAGACCAGAATTGTATGCAATACTCCAAAAGTGGACAAACCAATGTCCTGTACAGCCACAACATGACCTCCCAGTTCTTCTACTCAATGCACTGACTAATAAAGGCAAGCGTACCAAACACCTCCTTCACTATCCTAGCTACCTGCAACTCCACTTTCAAGGAACTATGAACCTTCACCCCAAGGGTCTATTTATTCAGTAACACTTCCCAGGTCTTTCCCATTAAGTGTATAAGTTCTGCCATGATTTGCCTTTCCAAAATGCAGCACCCCAGATTTATCTAAATTAAACTCCATTTGCCATTCCTCGGCCCATTGGCCCATCTGATCACAATCCTGTTGTACCCTGAGGTAACCTTCTTCACTATCCGCTACACTACCAATTTTGGTGTCATCTTCAAACTTCCTAACCACACCTCCTATGTTCACATCCAAATCATTTATATAAATGACAAAGAGCAGTGGACCCAGCACTGATCCTTGTGGCACGCCGCTGGTCACAGGCCTCCAGCCTGTAAAGCAACCCTCCACCACCATCCTCTGTTTTCTACCTTCAAGCCAACTCTGTATCCAAATGGCTAGTTCTCCTTGTATCCTGTGTGATCTAACCTTGCTAACCAGTCTACCATGAGGAACCTTGTTGAACGCCTTACTGAAGTCCTCATCAATCCTCTGTTACTTCTTCAAAAAACTCAATCAAGTTAGCGAGATATGATTTCCCATGCACAAAGCCATGTTGACTATCCCTAATCTGTCCTTGCCTTTCCAAATAGATGTAAATCCTGTCCCTCAGGATTCCCTCAAACAACTTGCCCATCACTGATGTCAGGCTGGCTTTTCCTTACCACTTTTCTTAAATAGTGGTACCACGTTAGCTAACCTTCAGTCTTCTGGCACCTCACCTGTGGCTATTGATGATACAAATATCTGAGCAAGGGGCCCAGCAATCACTTCCCTAGCTTCCCACAGAGTTCTAGGGTACACCTGATCAGGTCCTGGGGGTTTATCCACCTTTTTATGCGTTTTAAGACATTCAGCACCTCCTCCTCTATAATATGGGCATTTTTCAAGATGTCGCTGTTTATTTCCCCATGAGTCATACAGCGTAGAAACAAACCCTTTGTTCCAACTCATCTGTGCTGACCAGGTTTCCCAAACTAAAACTAGTCTCTTTTTCCTGCATTTGGCCCATATCCCTCTAAACCTTTCATATTCATGTACCTGTCCAAATGTCTTTTAAATGTTGTAACTGGACCTGCCTCGATCACTTCCTGTGGCAGTTTATTCCATGAACGCACCACCCTTTGTGTGAAAAAATTGCCCCTCGGGTCTCATTTTAATCTTTTCCCTACTCAACTCAAACCTATATCCTCTAGTTTTCAAGTTCCCTACCTACTGCTGCCTTAAGAATGTCCAAAGACTTTGCCTCCATTGCCTTTTCAGGAGGAGGGTTCCAAAGACTCATGATCCTCTGAGAGAAGAACTGTCTCTTTGCCTCTGCCTTAAACGGGTGACCCCCTTCTTTTTAAGGAGTGACCCCTGGTTCCACATTCTCCCACAAGAGGACACATTCTTCCCTCTCATGACCTCTCAGGATCTAGTGTGATTTGATCAAGTCACCCTTTTCTAAAATCCAGTTCGTACTTTTTTTTCTGAAGAAGGGCCCCGACCCGAAACGCCAGCTTTCCTGCTCCTCTGATGCTGCCTGGCCTGCTGCGTTCCTCCAGCTCCACATTTTTTGTATGAGATAACATTCTTAGCCTGTCCAGCATATCCTTGGAAGAGAAGCTGACAATTCTGGAAGTCTAGTTAAAGTTGTGGAGTCATAGAGCACGGAAACAGACCCTTTGGTCCAGCCAGATATCCTATACTAACCTAGTCCCATTGTCAGCATTTGCCCCATATCCCTCTAACCCCTTTCCACTACCTTGGGAAAAAGACCTTGGCTATTCACCCTATCCATGCCCCTCATGATTTTATAAACCTCTGAGGTCATCCCTCAGCCTCCAACACTCCAGGGAAAATAGCCCCAGCCTATTCAGCCTCTCTTTATAAATCAGACCCTCCAGTCGCAGTAACATCCTTGTAAATCTTTTCTGCACCCTTTCCAATTTAATAACATCCTTCCTATAGAAGGGCAAAAAGAACTGTAATACTCTAAAAGTGGCCTCGTCAATGTCCTGTACAGCTGCAACATGATGTCCAAACTCCCATAGTCAATGTTCTGACCAATGAAGGCAAGCTTACCAAATGCTATCTTTACCACCCTGCCTACCTGTGACGCCACTTTTAAGGAACTATGTACCTACTGCTAAAATCCTCATCCCTACCTTCATGACCTGTAGATATGACTATTGCGAAGCACTCTAACTTTCTGTCCACAATAAAGTTGAGTTGAAGTCATCCAAAAACACGGCCGCATGTGTGCTAACTCTCACCAAGGTCCGTTTCCCTTGTGTTTGCTAAGCTGCAGTAGCTCCTGGTTGAGTAATGCCACAATTTTAGAATCCTCATCCTTGTTTTCAAATCCCTTTGTGCCCTTATTCTTTTATCTTACTGTAAATCTCCCTCGAGACCCACTACAGGCTCAAAATATACTAGGGAGGAAGGGGAATTTGGTCCCGAAAGTGCCCAGAATGTCCAGGCAAATGTCAAATGGATAGAATCTGTGAGGGGTGGCTCTTATCTGTATTTGCTGCTGATTGGCTTGGCTGTGGGCTAATCGGCAGCAAATGTGGGCTAAAACCAAGTTGTGATTGGTGGAGCAGGGAGGGCTAGCTGTGCAGGAGCCATTGGGGAAGCCTGAACCAGCTTTCACTCAGGTTTTGGGACCTTTTCCTGGAGCTGGGCCCTTTGGGGATTTTTGGCGCAGCTGTGCCTTCTTTGCCGGAAGCATGGGGGTTGTTTACTGGGTGGGAGAGAAGGCTGCAAAGATAGGTGGCTGACAAAGTTAGGCTGCTAGGGAGGGTTGGGGCAGAGGGAGTCTGAAAGTGGATGGGGTTAAAAGAGAAGCTGCAAGGAGGGTGTAAGGAGGTTACGGGCAGAGGAGGCTGCAAGGAAAAGAGTGAGAGAGGCTACAAGGGAGAGAGAGAATAGTTTTAAATGTATTGACAAAAAATGAACTAATTAGGAGCTACTGAAATCACTGATGTAATGGCTTCCCTGCAAATGAATGTGGAATTGCTCGTTTAAGGCTGCATAAGTTCAGGAGCTTCCACATGGGGAAAATGTAGTTGATACAATAATGGTGAACACTGTCATTGGTTAAATTGAAATCTAAGGTTGGGATCTGTGCAGTGAAAAAGGTAACAACTGTCTGGTTAAAATGTTCCAGCTGTTTA